AAAAAACAACAACAAAAAACTCTCAATAGAACTGAGAATTTGTATTTAAGTTTGAAGGCAACCACAAACTTCAAGATTCATTTGATTTGGCTGCCAAATCAAAGAGCAGAGCCAAACTCAGTTAAGATAACAGTATTTGGATGATGACATGCTTCTAGGTGTCAAAATAGATACATTTGTCACACAGAATGTGGTCCACTTGAGGAAAAAAGTAATTTTGTTAGATGGCATTACAATATATTACAGTTTTTCCTGAATTTTACTGTCATTATGGAAGGATAATGAAATTATAGCTATACTCCCTCAGATGCTGTGTAAAATTAAAAGCACAGATAAACAGACTGATGTATATGTGTATACATATACATACACATACCTACACATGCAAACATATATATATATAACATATATAACAGTTTTGGAGGATGTAAAAAATAGGATTAGCCCCAATGTGCACTATTCTCATGTCTAAAGAGTTATTTTTAGACTATATACAGTGGGTAAAGTAAGTATTGAACATGCCACACATATTTCTAAAGGTGCTATTGGGATGAAATTCTTACCAGATGTCAGTAACAATCCATCCAATCCACACATGCAAAAACAAAAATCAAAACATAGATGTCTATAAATTAAGTCATGTGTAATAATAATGAGAAATGACACAGGGAAAAGTAGTGAACATGCTTCCTGAAATGTATTTAATACCTACTACCTGTATGGAGAAAGTAGTTGCAAGCATTGCTCAGGTCTGTTTTTGGCCCATTCTTCCAATATCTATCTATCTATCTATCTATCTATCTATCTATCTATCTATCTATCTATCTATCTATATACATACATATAAACACGTGGCCTTGGAATAATGCACTTTACTTGAGTCTACAGATTATATGTGAATGAGTAGGTTGTATAAATATATGTACATATTCCAGATGAACATGTGGGATTGAGCAGGAGGACATTAGAAATAGGACAACTGTTGTTACAGTCTGTGTGGGATGGCAATATTAAATTTCCCTTTTGCACTTTGGCAACACGTGGGGGCTGGCATGAGGTGTGTGTGTGCTGTCAGCTGCCTGGCACACAGAGCCCATCGCCCTACTATTGAAGAGTTTCTGCATTGCTGTCATTCCTGCTGTGGGTAGCTGATAGCACCACTAAAAGGTAAGACAGAGCCACTCTGTGCTTTCCACAGACCGGCCTACTACATTTACAGTAAGTTTAGTTCGATAGTGGATATAATGTTAGTGATGAAATCCTATTTTTATGTTATATATTTATAATCTGTGGATTGTGCATAGTCACCGAATTTACAGGCTGGTATTATTTGTCTGACAAGGTAAGCGATAAATGTTGTCCTTGTTTAATTATTCATGATCATGATCAAAGTGTTTCATTATCACACTTGGCCTGGTCTCTGGGGTGTAATTCAGTAACACAGCACTATCGAAAGCTTTTTAAAGTAATGTGATTTTGTAGTCTTAAAAAAAGGCCGTTCCAAGAACAAACTAAAGGATTGTTGTTATTCATGTACTCTGTTCCCAGATGGCAGGAGGAATCTTCAACAACTTGGGCAGTCTGTGTAAAGTGGATTGTGCTAATGTTCACCCCTTGGTGTGTCACCTGTGCCATGAGCAGTACCAGTCCCCATGTTTATTGGACTGCTACCACATCTTTTGCGCCCGCTGCTTGAGAGGTCGGACTATTGACAATCGCCTCAGCTGCCCCCTCTGTGGGTAAGAGAGGGCACTTTGAAGTTCGTCATGGTCAAATTAGACTACGAAAGTATAAGTCAAACATGGTGTTTTAGTATGTGCTTAGGAGACCTGAGCCTCCACATCACACCAAAGCGAATGACTTGTGGTTTTGATGGCTTAAAGACACTCTCATTTTGAATTACAACCTTACACAATTTACAGCAACATTACTTATAATTTGTATTAGAAAGTTGAGTAAAACTGTCAAAATATGATAAAAACTGGATTCTTATAAGAAAATATAACTTTACTTCTTGAAAACACCTCAAGGATTTTGGGCAGCGCTGCTCAACAGGATTGGTTCCATGTAAATTAAAAAATAGATTGTTTGGGTTTGTGCAGGAGACTGAAGAAGAACATCAAGTCTCACTGTTTTGTTTTTTAGGGTGCTGCTATGACCCACTGCTGGCCTGGTGTGGGTAGGGCAGAACTGAGTGGCTGGAGCAGCTGCAGGGTCAACCCAGTCTCTTATTTAGCCCTTGGCCCCAATACGCAAAGGGGCTGCAACTTCCATGAAGCCATGTCACAAAGCAAACAAAGCATACCGGTATTTGGCAGCAGTGCTAACAGCTTAGGACAATCAAAAGAAGTCACATGATAGCAGTCCATTTAATATCTTATTAAGGAATGACCCGTGGTTCACAGTCACCTTCAGATCTGCAGTATTAACTTTCCCTCATCAAAGCATGGGTTCATAGAAAAGGTCCTCTGATACACAGTGATTATATCAGTCTTGTTCTACTGTGTCAGAACGCATCTGAATCAGATATAGTGGTGATGAATTTGAGAGTATTTTAATTATTCTGAGATGCTTTCTACTTTCTTGTAGTTTCAAACCCGGAACTGCTTTAAAAAACCAAAACATTGTATATCAAATTCCCCTGGGTTTATATCTGAATTTATATTGATTCTTTACACATACCCATATTACACTGCCAATGAGGTATGTAAATTTATTAAAATACAATTCCCTTGAAAAATTAATGACTGTGGAACCCCACATCTAACTTCCTCAGAGCTAGTTTAACTGTCATGAGGTGCATCAGATTATATAGTCAACAGTAAAAGTCAAAGTAATACCAACACATATGTTTTTTCACAGTAATAACACAGTGGGCACAAAGCCACTTTGCTCTGCTGTCTGAGCTCAGGATACAGGGGCCCACTGTCTGGCAGCTATTTCCATCAGCTAACAGCTGCTCACTCAAGAACCACATAATCTAGGAACTCACAACTCTATTAGTAGAACACAATGGATCCCTGTTGGTATGAAAACTAGATAAAATGTTCATAGTGGAGGCGAGAAGAACGATATTTAAGTCAAACGGGCCTGTGCAGATGTGGTAATGTAACAAAAACTGGCTACATGTGGTCATACAGCACTTGGGTTTCAATCTGCATGTACAGTGTTTTTATAACCCTCTAACCCAGTTTCCTACACGTGATTCAACCCAGTCCTGTATTTATTTCTTTAAAAACGGGACTGGGTTGAATCACGTGTAGGAAACTGGTTTAGAGGGTTCTAAAAACACTTTATTTAAACAGGTTAAAAAAAAAATCAGTGAAACAAGTTTTGGGGTCTACAACTAGGTTTAAAAAGGTGTGTGAAAATAAGACACTTTCTTACCAAGGTAGTAATTTTATTCAGTACTAATTAGATGTAAGGTAATTTAATTGGTTTATAGACAACTAATCGCTCTTCAGTTCAAATTTATTTCTTAATCAAACATAAACACTCCAATTCAACCTTTGAAATTAGAAATTTGCTGCAGTTTATTCCATGTCAGTTAATACTGGGCGAATAGGATATTTTACGCTATAAAAAAAATAAATATTGATAATCTCTAAACAAATAAGTTTAAAATGTTGTGTTTAAAGTTCAATAAATTGAGAACACTACCAAAAAATGAGTGAAGTGAGAATTTGTATTTCAGACTCAAGGCAATGACAAAAAGTAAAATTCATCTTTCAGAGTCAAATCTGCCAATCAAAGAGCAGAGCCAAACTGCCAATTAAATACCAGTATTTGGACGATGGCACACTTACAGGTGTCAAAATAAATACATTTGTCACACAGAAAGTGGCCTACTAAAAGGAAAACATCACTTTAATCTGAGTAAATGCAGTGCCATCTTCAGGGATTTCACAAGAATGCACTAAGTCATCAAGGATGTACGATTAACAACAGCATTTTAATGTGTTATTATACAACTTATTATATGCCTTTAAAGTACATTTAGAAAACTTGGAATTCTTCTCATTGATCAACATACCAATGAAAGGGAGTATTCACCCAGTGTTTAACTTAAAATGAGTCAAAGTGGCCGAAAATATGGAGCAACTTAATTATACTGGGATTTCTTTTTGGACATTAATTAGCACAGATAAACTCATTCAGTCCCTCCAGGTACTGCTGGGACATTATTTTTCTCTTCATAATTCTCAGTCCTCATGTCATTCAGTCCCAGCTCTTCATTCTGTTGAAACGAGCGGGTGTACTTCTCAACAGTCATCTCGGGATCTGGCTCCGGAGCGTAGACATTCTGTAAATAGCTGTTCCCTGCAGGGTCATCAAGGAGGACATGGACATCGAGTTCTCCTACAATGATCTTGTCTATTTTCTCTCCAAACTCACGCAGCTTCTGTATCCGATCTGCAGTGCTGCTGTCCCCACAGATGAAGGGGTTTTTGGAGACAGTCAGGTCTTTGATGTCTTTCAGCAGGCCCTCAAGAGTTGTGAACTTCCCACCCAGGGCTGCCATCCCCAGCTCGAATTCCAGCTCTGGAATGATGACGGCGCACGTCTCTGACTTCAGCAAATCTCGGGTCATGTCTGAAGGATCGGTGATGTGCAGGGTGATCTTGGTGCCAAGCGCCTCTGTCGCTCCACCTGATTTCACCTCATTGGTCCGATGGCCACAGCTGTCACAGTTAGTAGCCATGATGATTACCTCCTTGAAGTGGGGGATCTGGACCAGTTTCATGTTGGTTGAGGCTGGTGCGTTGCACTCGGGACAGTTAGTGTTGAATGTCAGAACTTCATTTCTCATCGTCTCCAGGTCGTTGCCCGCTGGTTCCTCATCCAGGTCGTCATCTGCCTTTATTCCCAGCTGTATATCCTGCCGGACTGTCCGCTTGAAGGTGGTTACTGTGAGAGCCTCATCTTTTTGCGGTGCTACAGGATTTTCCACAAAACTGTTCCCAGATGGATCCTCAATCACCAGGGTGAACTCATTTTCAACCTCTTTTAGCTTCCTGAGCTTCTGGATGAATTCTTCTATCTTCTCAGCCACCTCAGGATGTGTGGCTCGCCTCACAGCCTGGTCTTGCTCCAATCCTGCCACTGCTCTGTCTAAAAGACCCTCAATGGTAGACAGAGAGCCCTTCTGAGTGAAGGCAGGGATTTCAAAATCCAGCTCGGGGATCCTTGTGGTCGCGCTGTCTGCTTTTACAACCTCCCGGTTTAGGTCCTCTTTTGTTTTGACTTTAAGCGTGTAACACACGCCTTGCTCTTGAATCCGACCCGCAGACTGGATTTCAGTGTTTGTCCAGCCACAGTTGGCGCAGCTGAAGGAGCTCAGAATTATTTCTTTAAAGAAAGGGATTTTGGTCAGAAGCAAACGTGTTGTACCGTTCTTGTAGCAGTTCATACACAGGCTCTCGATCTCAGTGGGCTGCCAGTCGTCGTCGTCTGCGCTAATATCCTTGAAAACGCTGCCACCTCGAACATGTTCCTCTGAAATAACAGACATGTTTAACGCTGACTATAACGTCGCTTTGTAGACAAGGTTACACACGCTGTCGTTTTCCCTACAGAGATAGCTCTTGCTAGAAATTTCCAGATAACACACCACCAACCTTCCGCTACAGCGCACGTTTATTTGACAGTCTTCCGCTTTCTCTTCTTCGACGGTGACAGCGGCAGTGTTTAGGTCTCCAGTGCTGCCCCCTCAGGCTTGCTGCAATACTGCACCAAAATATTTGAAAGGTTTTTATTCTTCTTCATGGAGACAAGCTTGTTTTGCAATTTTCTTTCTTTCTTTTTTTCAAAAAATATTTCTGTCTTATATTATATGTGATTTTGTTATATTTTTGCAGATCACTGGAAATATCTATCTATCTATCTATCTATCTATCTATCTATCTATCTATCTATCTATCAATCAATCAATCACTGGGACAGGGGTGTGTTTACTCTGTGCTGCATCACATTAAAAGCTACTTTTAGATGCTCCATTATTCACAAGGGGTCACCACAGTTGGTAGCTCCACATGTTTGATTTAGCAGATTTTGTGCAAGATGGAATGGATTTTTTGCATGTTATACAGATTTTAAATTACTATGTGTTGAATCACAGCCTCCTGTAAAAACACTGTCACGATTTGCAAACTGATGAAATTATTCTCTGATATAGACTGACAGTCAGGCCCTTTTTTATTGCATTTTTTTGGATGACAACTCTGGACTGCAAAGATTATAGTTTAAAAAGAGCTGCATGTTACTGTGTCGTTATTGTTTTAGTGATTCCCAGCAGGAGTGAACTTGAAAATTCACAAAATACTGTTTCTAGATAACTTTCATGATTCCTCTTAACATATTTTTTTAAGCTGTTTGTCTTTGCCACAGATACCCATCTATAGTAAAAGGGAATAATAGCCTCCCACCAGAGGACCGTCTTCTGAGGTTTCTTGTTGACAACAATGCAGATGCTGAGGAGGCGGTGCAGTGTGCCAATTGTGACCAGGAAAGCAACAAAAAGGTACTGATCTAACAGACCAACATTAATTCATGTTAAATGAGCCCATGGATATTACCTGCATTCTCTTAAAGGCTTCCAATTCTTTAGTCTTTATTATGACAGGAAAGCCAGGAGAAGGGCATGCAGTAAATAGCCTCAAAGCTCACTTGAATCCAGCAGTAAATAGCCTTAAAACATACGGTTCACATGCTTAACCCAGCCAGCTTTACCAGGATCCAAAACAGTCCCTTTTAATGGCATGCTTATTTCATAGCCACATATTAGGAGACAGGCGACCTATTACTTGGGCTTTATAAGTGCATAGGAGAAACCAAAGGCTAACAGGGATGCAGCTTTTAAAGGGGCTGAATTCTTAATTTCTGCAGGAGTGTTTGTAGAACTTCAAAATTTTTCACTTCAGCTTTTCAGTTTTAATTTTTTGATGTTTCACATGCAATTTTAATGCTGCTCACATTCTTCCTATAATATATGTTCTCTAAATGAAAGTCTAAATGACCACCGAGTACAACAGTGAAAATTTTAATATAAAACATATTCATAAATCTTTTAAAACATTCTTAAATATTCTCATTTATACAGGACACAGGGGTGATGTACTACTGTAACACTTGCAGCCAGCCATTGTGCGCCACCTGCAGGGAGCTGACACACAAGGCCAGAATGTTTTCCCACCATGAGATTGTGTCCTTGGCCAAACGCACCAAAGCCAAACACAGGAAATGCTGTGAGTAATGCCACCTGTAATTTACTCACCTACGAGGCTCAATTACACCTGTGTAGAAACATGTTCATAAGAACTGTAGTTATTCCAGCGCTATGGCTGAATTCTCCTGGCTACATGTTAATCATACTCTCACACGCAGTGGTGGGTAATTTTTAAAAGCAGCATAAAAAGGAGTGGTGTTAACACCCCAGTCAGTATGAGTGTGGTCTTTAAATTTAATCAGCAACCTGTGTCTGTATTATGAACCTTACGTGTTACATACGGCCCACTAGAATAACAGAATAGCAGTACTTTAACTCTGGCACTCCTGTGAGCTGAAGTTAAAAGGCGTCTTTGTCTCTTCGCAGCTCTCCACGAGGAACCTTACATCCTATTCTCTACAGAGAATAAGTCTATGCTTTGCATCAAATGCTTCAGGGACATGCAAGTGTGAGTGAACCCGCTGCATAAAATTTATGATTGTCAGAACTTCTCTTCTCTTCTCTTCTCTTCTCTTCTCTTCTCTTCTCTTCTCCATGCTAATTCAGGTGTGTTTTTGTGTTTTCCCCAGGGAGAGTCGGAGTCACTGCATTGATATTGAAACTGCTTACGTGCAGGGTTGTGAGATGTTGGACCAGGCTGTGCTGGTGAGAGAGTCCTGTTTGTTCATCTACATATTCATGACACTCAAGGCAAAAAAAAAAAAAGCATTATGAATAATTCAGGTACTCTGAAGTGTTGATAATAATGTGAGATGCGGTGCAGGTGTTCCCAAAATTTGTTTAGCTCATTAAAATAACATTTTAATTTGTGCTTCTATTTGACTGCCCATTTTTTGGGCTTACCAAGAAAAGCTTGCATGCCCAAAGTCTATAGAACTGTAGAGTCATATATGTGACATTTTCAAGTAGTAAAGTATTTCCAGTATGTCCATCCATTTTTTGCCACTTATCCTGGTCCAGATTACAGGACAAGCACTTCAAGCATAGTTCCTCAGACCTCTATCTTCCCTGTAACACGCCTCCACCATCATAACTAAGACTGTAAAGAGATGTTTTCATCAAGGCATCTGAGAGACATCATCTTTTATGTTCTGGTTCATAAGATCAGATCCATCCTAGTCAGATATCAAAACCACCATTGGATCAGGAGGTGCACAGGCTCTACTCTGAGTAGAGGTCTTATCAGTCTGCTGCTCTATTCTTCCTTCACATATTAACAAAACCCGAAGATACTTAAACTCCCAACTCCTCTTGCCTCAGGTCTGATCCCCAGCCTGGCTGAGAAACCATGTCCTCAGGCTTGAAGGTGCTTGGGGAAATATTTCAGAAATAAGGGCGGTTGTTGTGTTTTGTGTGCTTTACCTGGAACTGGGCAATAAAAAAAAACAGCTACACTAAACCAGTCCAAATCTCAAGGACTTTATTAAGTATATCTGTACAATCAAGTGCTACAATCAATTGAACGATCTTGCATTCCCTGAAATAAAAGATGATTCCCATTAATTAAGTTGTTAAAAAGCTCACGATTGTCACCAAGCGCTCTTTTCCCTCTGTAGGTGGTAAAGGAACTGCAAACTTCAACTGGAGAGGCGATCCTTCTGCTGAGAGCTATGCTAGGAGAAGTGTGTCTGAACGTGGAGGAAGAAGAGAACGCAATCTGCAGTCTGTTCAACAGTTTGCAGGTCACATATTGATCCGATTTTATTCAGCTGCTGTTGTTTATCCTCCCCAGCCAACTGTAGGAAGAGAAAACTGCTTACACAAATATTTATTTGAATGTGTTGACAGTGTTTCAGTCTAGCTCTGATGATGACGCATCAGAATGTTTAAACACTGTAACCACAACAGGCGCTGTGATGACAGGTGTGGTGAGGTGTAAAATGATCCCTTAGCTTTAGAAAAAGGGTTTTGCCCTGTTCTCTTCTTTGAATCTTAAAATTGTTTACTGGAAAAAGATCCAACTGTCTCTAAACATCTGTCTATAGAAATATTTTTGGGTTTAAAGTGAATGCAGAGATCATCTCTAACACCAAATGTTTTTTATTATGTTCACATGATCCATTGGGTTACCAGGATTTAATGTGTCAGGTCTGCTTAGATTAAATTAGTTGCAGAGAAGTGGACTAATCTGGACTAACTGAATGGCTGTCAGATAGTTTGCTTAGATTTAACCATCTGCCCTAATCATTAGGGGTGGGGGAAAAAATCGATACTGTGTAGTATCGTGATATTTTGTTTGCTAATAATGTATCGATACAGGGACAGCAGAAATCGATATTTTGATACAAAAA